GCTCATTAATTGCCACAGCGTTCTTGTCCGCGTCGGATGCGGGTTTGATAATGGCGCGGCAATTATGTCCGCTGTCGTCAGAGTTGTTGCAGCACCTGGTCCTTCCCACGTGACTGATTCTCTTGCTCAGGGAATTTCTCAGTGCACCCAAATCGTTGCACTTATTGATGGACTGGATGCTTGAGAACGATGACTCAAGCAGCTCGCGGTTCACGCGGTTGTCACCTCTTGCGAAGTTTTCAGTCTCGTAAAACTTGCAAATATGGCTGGATCCCGTCGAGTGAGCTGCAATCTGTGCATGTCTCATTTCCTGCGCATGTCTCAGACTGTTCTACTATTAACTATGATTAAGGATTCCCGACGAAATCCGAGACGTCGGGAAAAGAAACCTCTTGTTGCTGTGATCGTTTCTCCTTTTTCTTCTTCTGTACTGCTTCCTGAAACTCGCATATTCAATTTTATTGGTAATGAGCAATGTCATTTTTTGCTTTGCTCAATTAAGTCTTTACGGGAAGCGGGATTATATTGCTTCAAAAAAAAATCGTTCTGATGCTATGTTCAATAAGAAAGTATTTGCTGGGTTGCAGTATTGCCACGTTTCTTATGAACGAGATAAGCTGTGTGGTGCCCCAGTTACGGGCATAACGGAAATATTAATGGCTAAAGTACACGGAAGTCGCAATTGGATGTGTTAAAACATGGCATATTCTCCTGGATCATCCGGATACCCTGTTCACTGACCTTCAGGTAATGCGAATCGAAGAATAAGATGATGCGCCTAACCAGAAAATACAGTTAGCAGTTCCCAGAAAATGTTTACTGCCGCAATGGGTCAGAAAGGTGGGCTCTCAACTTGGATTTGACCAAAATTTGCACACTTTCAAACGCGAACCATCCGAGTTTCCGAATTTTCTTGAATAAAATCTGGTAATTCTCTTACCGCCTCTCATAAGTGCCAGCAATGCAAAATTGCTTGTATGCAGGTGAGACACCTTAATAAATCGCCAGACCTCTCAAGCGTTTCAAACCCGGTAGCATGCAACGGTACTTCAAGGTTCGGTGGAGCCAGAATTGCCCTTAACAAGCGCACGCCAATAAAGTATGCCACTTATTTTCAGGAATGTGATAAATACAATTGGTCGGAGAGCTATCCGCTTGAAAGCCAGCTCAATATCATGTAATCAATAACCTGCTATTATTTTACATGTTAATCTGACTTTCAAAAATGCTTCCGCAAGCAATGGAGATGAAAAGAATTTGTTAAACCGATTGGTTAAGGTTTTCTAATGGTGACAGCGTTTGCTTACGGTGGCAACTAAGGGGCGTAAGGGAAACATTCAAAACCAAAGAAGCGGAACTAACGACCTTTTTTGATCACCTAATTTCCCTCCGTCCTATCAGCAACGGTGTGTATGTGCATTTAATGGATATGAGTCATGGAAGTTGCTGGAGCAATTTCAATCCAGAAGCCAGTTTTCTGACAGTCATTGGACTGCGCTTTATGCTAATCAGTCTTATAGTGCTGATTTAGCGATCACCTATGCTCGAGAGAATTCGCTAAATGTTTTCTTCCGGTGATCCTAGAGTAACCGGCTTTGTGTATTCCGCGGCGGGTTCAGATCAAGCAGTAGTTGCGTGTACTCTAAGAGGGCAAATAGAATGTGACTGTCCTTGTGGACTATTCATTCGCGCCGGTAATTGCCTACACCTCCAAACCTGCGCGGCAGTCTTGAGACGGCTTTTACAATGCATATGAGTTTGCAAACGAGCTTTTGGCTCTACCGGACTCGCTAATCGTCATGCACCTAAATTGTTGCCGTAACAACTTGCCGCACACCACACAAGTACAATCGAATCCTGCGTCTTTCTTTTTGATCGCATTCTGATTGGGGTCGATTGGGATGATGGAGGCCGAATCGTGAAATAAAAACCAGCCAATCAAAAAGAATAACAGTGGCTGGCATGCAGTAAATCATAAATTTCAATGAAATGCTCGACGTTAAGCAGCTGTCCGTTTCAAAAGTTGTCAACAATATAAGTTTAGCGGCAACCTACGCACACTCTTTAACACAGGCATCTCCTTCAGCTAGTAACAATTTAGTCTGACATTCTAAAGAACTGAGGTCAGGCGCCTTATTCTTCTAAATGTGCCAGTAACCAAATTTTATGGAGAAGAGAGAAGCAATACGTGGTTATTCTGATGACGAATTCGGACTAAACGGATTCTACTTCAGTGATATCATTATCCATTAATGAATATATGTAATATCAGACAGTTCGGAGGTATAATCAGTCAGTTTACAAACAAAGTCGGTGAAAACAAATTTTTATGAAATTACTTGTGTAATCTAAACAGGACACCTCTCGAGCTTACTAACAATGAATAAAGTTGAGCAGCTTAAAATGCCCCTTGGCCACGGTAAACCGATAAACCAGATAAACTGATGGAAAACGCAATAAATGAATGATTTTTCTGTTGTTGATACTTCTTTATAATAAAAACGCGATTTTGGACATTTTAGAATGTTAATACTAAGGTGCAAGTACCTAATATAAAGTGCCTTTATTTTCAATGACCATATTCCAACTTTAGAAAACTAAACTTTGGGAAAACTCTAACGTAGACCCGAAATAATGTCGATCTAAATCCAGCATGATAATACTGATGAATAGTAATAGTTAATTAGACAATCGGAAGCTAGCCGAAAAACGGCCTTATCCACCAATGTGATTAAGTAATTGACTTCGGTTCCTGAAAAAACGGAAACATAACTTGTGAAATCAGTTATCATATCAAACACATATATAAAAGCTTAAAGCCTAGACAACTGTACCCCCGGTATTATTCCACCGCTGGACACAGGTGTAATGGGTCCCGTTAATCAGTGGGTCTCCCAGCATTATTTGCGTGTTGTCTGATCTTCAAAGTACTTACATAACCTGTACAGCTGTCTGAATGATGGCAGCTTATAAATATTTAGCAGCTGTCCCGAACTGGCTGGTAGACGTTGACCAAAATGTTTAACTGTATTCTTTAAATATGTTTACCTAATCCAAGTTCCAAAAATCTATTTCTAGGACGATGTACAAGTTTAGTACTGCTTTCATTTTTAGCCGAAGGAATGTATGTTTTCGGAATTAAAACCCGAAATGGAACAGAATAAACTCAACACAAAGACCTCTGATGCATATGAATCTATAGATAATTCGTGGCATACAATTCAATAAAGCAATAGTTGCGGCATTTATGCGAACGCGTAGAGTCTTATGGGTGGAAAAGCCGTGAAATGAGTCCATAACCCAACACTTTTGGTCAACCTTCCCAAGGTTTCAGTGCCACATTCCGGGAGAATGTCCGTTGGGTTTAAGGT